TCATGGCGAGCAACAAGTGGATCATGAAGAAGCATCTCGATCATGAAGATTACGAGATGTACGACACCAAGATCCGCGAATTTGCCGATGCCTTCTTCGATTATGTGAATTCCACCAAGCACAGCAAGGAAAAGGATACTTCCTCTGAGACCAAGAAGAGACGGCATTCCACCGATCAGGACGAAACTGAAGGAGAGATGATTTAACCCTCCGGGGAAAGATCCGTCAAGCCAAAGGTCATCGTGGAATATCACAATTCAGAGAACCTAGATGAGTTCATCCAAGAACTCAAGGAAATCTATCTCGAAACAGATTTGAACAAAAAGGACGCAGAGGAAGAGCTCGCGGGGACCAAGGAAAACCTCACCCGCTTCATGAACCAGTTCAACAAAGATCGAAGAAGAGCTCATCCCAACTTGACAGAGTGCGAGAGAGCCTCATTGGCACATGTCGACCCCGATGTCAATCTCGGTGAAGAAGAATTCTACTTCCCTCATCGAGGAGAATGTCCCACCATTGACGAGTACAAGCAAGCTCAACCAGGATCCGGATATCCGATCAAGCTTCCGCTTGGATTGAAGAAGCTCAGGTCACACGATGACCCGAAAATCATCCGAGCCTATGCCGATATCCTGGGATCGCTGATGCAGCCGACCGACCGTCCTCCTGTGGACTATCTCAATATGCATGAGTTCACCTCATCCATAGCGATCAACACGCTTACCCTGAACCATGGAAACCTCACAAGGAATCCAAAGCTGGACAACAGGGAGGTGCACAACATGCCAATGAAGGATCGACCGATCGTAAAGATGATGATGCAGAACAGTGCACACATCTTATGCCTGAATGAAACAGACGCATTCTTCAGTCCTAATGATGAGAAATCCAGGGAGCTCATCAAGACGTTCATCCGATACGGTTACAAGGGCATCGTAATCAAGCAATGGTCATCCAGACCGATCGCATGCTTTGTCCGTGGCGGACCTTCTGCACGAGTGGAACTTCTGGCAAGACACATTTCCACAAGGAGCCAGAATTGGGGAACCACATTCGGAATGTTCAGATGTTTCTTCGGAACTGAAGGAAGTTGCACTGATCCCGAATACGAAATTCCGACCTCGGATTGCTTGGCAACCACAGGACCATCCATGTTTACTGAATCCAAGAAGTACATTGGATCGAGATTGCCAACACGCACCATTGTCCAAGGACATGGCCGAGACAAGGAGATCGTCGTTCTCCACATCGAGCAGAGTGATGAGTTTCGTGGCATGATCCCGAAATCATCCAACAAGTCACTCCACGAGTATGACGACCGCCACATAACGAGGGCAGATCTCCCATTCGCAACCATTGGAGTCTTCCACATCCATCCTTCAATTAGCCATGGAGCAGCAAAGAAAGATCTTCAGAATGCAATCATGCCGCTCGTGACCGTGTACCGATGCGATGCGATCACCGGAGACGCCAACAAATCAGCGAACACCTACAGCAAACTCCAGCACGTCTACAATCCGGCCAACGGTCTCGTGAACATCCTCATGAGAGCATATCAGAGACTGTGGGTGAAACGAAGAATTTGCCACTCGTGGACAGAATGGAGTATGCAATGGAGACTTCGTGCTCCCTGAAATCCATTGTCCGTCATCACCTGTACATGAAATGTGGATCAGGATATGATCGAACATTCCCAGATGTGATGATGACTATCGTATTTGGATGGGGCAAAACGAACATCCAGCAGGGTTTCCGGAAGGACGAGATGAACGGCATGGATGATGAACAACTGGAGTTCATGCGGAACCATCCAACCAAGGCCATATTCGATTACCAGGTCTCATCCGCAGAGCGTTATAAGCACGTGAACAATGAAATGTTCATGAATGGCTCGCAGGACTCCGACTCCCACAGTCCTCTCATGGTTTACATCCGCAGCAAATCTGCAACCAGTAAACGCAGCTCTGAGAGATACCAGGAGTACATCAAGAAGAAACAATCATCCTGGACCCCGCAGGAGTATAATGACTACAACAAGCAGTGGGGACATCAGAAGCAGTGGAAGGACTATAGCACCTCGACCTGGAATGATTATGGAGACTATGGCAGTCAATCCGACAGCAGCCGCCGATGGTATCGTCGATCCGACTGACCATGAATATTCATACGTTCAGCACCACGAACAATTCAGATGATTGATCCTCGTCGTCTACAAGACTATACCATGAGTGAGGGATCAATAGTTTCACAATCGTTCCGCGTGTACATAGCGTTGTACATCACCCTTTGATACATCTAGGTATCCAAAAACAAGCAGTACATAGTGTTTCCCATTTCGAAGGCCAAGACATTTCATCCGAGCAGAAAAAGGATGAATCCGGCATTTTTAATACACATGGCTACGGCATACATCAAGGCTACGGCCAAAGGCCATGAAGCCAATAGTATTTCATACTTTGCGCTGGAGATCAAAAGAAATTTGTGTCTGTTTTGTGTTCTGTTTTTCAGACCATTGATCTCCCGCAACATTTGGCTCAAGGGCCCCTTTTGTAGATCACAATCATCCGAGCGTGTGACAAAAGAGCCTCAGCAGGCCGCGTACAGGATTATCCACAAGACAATCCACCAGGGACAATCCATCCTCCAATCATCCACACTGGCATAGTGGATTCTCTCCGGAATAGATCCAAAAACCAACAACGACCTCAACTACCACAGGGTTCCAGTTCCCTCCGGGGATAGGCACCTGGGGCAGTGGGCCTCAATTTGTGGTAGCGGAGCGGGTTTTCCGCAGAGATCCAAGGGAAGATGTCATCCGATGGAGAAGGCTTCATGGAAGCCTATACAAGTATGGCCAAGCCGAGCTATACGGAGGAAACACTAAATTTATCGATGACCGCCAAGCAGCCGCCATCGTACGACGGAAAAGTCAGCTGGTTCAGGTACGAGGAACTTGTGGACGACTGGGTGACCATCACCACAGTAGAAGCATCCAGGCGAGGTCCATTGCTTAAGAGCAGACTCACTGGAGATGCTTACATGTACAAAGCCGTCCTCCAGAATGATCTTTTGCAAGATCCTGATGAAGGAGTCAACTATTTCAAGAACACGCTGAAGAAGTACTTTTTGAAAGGTGCGACCAACGTGTATCTGTACAGACTCCTCAGTTTCTGCAATCATCGGAGGCAGAACCAAGAGTTCCTCATTTTTACCTCAAAATTCGAAATCCTACTTGTGAGACTAAAGGCAGCATGGATGGACTTGATGCCAATCTTTACGGCACAGTCTCCATCATTTCGACAGTCCGTACAGGACGCAAATGCAAGAACAATTGCTCGACATCAGCAAGCAGCCGGTGTTCGAGCACAGCCTCCAGCCCTGCTCAATGAGGACGATCCGACAGTCCTCAGACAGTATATCCAAGGAATGCAGGACAGACAGCGGGACGCATTTCCCTTCGGGGATAATCTCATTGCACAGTTTTTCATTATTCAAAGTGAGTTGTCAGATAAGCAACGAGAAAGACTGACAAGCGCAATGTCATTAAGAAACATCTCACTTGAGAATTATTCCTATGAGATGCTGAAGACGCATTACCATGAACTCTTCATCACAACGAGGACATCGATCCAAGATCCATCCATCCAGCCGAAGCAACACATTCTTCATCATCGAACAAGGTGAATACGAAGGACAAGAAGGCTTCTGGGTTGAGGATGAAGAAGGACTTGAAGGATTCATGTCAAACAACGATGAAGAGACGTTCTGGGTCCAGGAGAACGATGCGTTCATAGCAAGAAAAGTGTCGGGGCGGAACTTCAAGTTCAAGAAGAGAAAAGGAAAAGGAAAATCAGGAAACAAAAAGGGCAGTCACCAACGAGGTGGCTTTAAACCCTTCAGAAAAAGCGGTTCTGGCGGAAAGGCCAATATGGCCAACGAAAACTATGATCCCTATGACCAGGCATTTTGGGGAAAAGGCAAGGGAAAGAAGGGAAAGAAAGGAAAATCAAAATTCCAATATCCCTATGATGGAAACAAAGGTTATCCATCCTATGAGAGTGGTAAAGGAAAGAGCGGACAGGAGAAAGGAAAATCCAAGACGTTCGCAGCCACCGCCGCCATCCAGCAGACTGCACCATCCATAGAGCCTACCTATGCCGGTTGGACAGACCAAGATTGGGATCAATCATGGACATGGAATGAACAAGGCTGGTACTCATCCCGTGAGACATCCAGCGCAGGACAAGCGTTAATGGCATTCCATGATGCATATGAGCATCCTGGGAAAAAGGCCATCCACGAGAAGCTGATCCAATCAGATACAGTTTCAGAACACAATCTGTCCGTAACAACAAATCAACAGCCTTCTGGCAACAAAGCTGATGGCGCCTGTCATCAACCCTCAGCACAACCCGACCTGCCCCCCCCCCCTCCCGCCCCCCCCCCTCCCCTGCCTCTGTCTGCGTCTGTCTACGCATCTGCGTCTATCTTCGTGTTCGCGCCCCGCGTGTCTGTCTGCGTCTCTTTGTGTCTGTCTGTGTTTGTCTATGTATCTGCGTCTCGCTGTGTCTGTCTACGCATCTGCGTCTGTCTTCGTGTCCGCGCCCCGCGTGTGTGTCTGTGTCCCTTTTGTGTCTGTTTGTGTCTGTCTACGTATCTGGGTCTGTCTGTGTCTGTCTACGTATCTGCGTCTGTCTTCGTGTCTCTCTTTGTGTCTGTCTGCGTCTGTCTACGTACCTGCGTCTGTCTTCGTGTCCGCAAACGGAGCGGGTCTGTGCACGCGTGCTTTCTCTCGCCCCGGGCCGACATTTTAAGGCGTGTGGGGGCGGCGGAACCAGGCCGCAGGCCATTGAATATCGGTGCGCAATCAATGTGCATATGGAAACCTATGAATTTTGTTGGGGGCATTGGAAATTGCTTCCAGTTTACATATCCACCAACCATCAAAGAGGGCTCCCGACTAGAAGTCACAGCCATAATTGAAAAAGCTCCTTGGCACTTTAAGTTTTGCCCTGGAACCGGCCCAAGAGAAACCAGGGCCCCGGCTGGCTCATGCGGGCGGAGGGGGCGCCCTCTAAGCACCACCCCCGTTTCGCGCGTCTCTTTGGCCCCGCAAAACGCCGGCAAGCCGGACGGGCGGAATCTTTCACTGGGGGAACTGAACCGCCGCCGGACTGAACATTCCTTTGTGGGTGAGCTGTTCGCTGTTCAGTAGAAGGGGCTTCTGTTTGATGGCTGGATTTGGTTTCAGCTTCGGCTTCGCCACCGAGGGCTGGGGCTGTCTTTCGCTCTTGCATGCCCTTCCTCGCACATCGAGCCGGACGACTGGGCGAGGCGATCGTCAGCGTCCGGTGCACTCAGGCTTTGTTTCGCTGGAACGACTCCCCCAGCTGCCAGTGAGAGGAAACCGTGGGGTTTCCCTCCAACTTTCTTCACGGCATCTTTTATTTGTCTTGGAAACGGCATGAACAAAAAGGTGACACCAAAAACGGTCTCAAAAACAGGGGAGAAAAACAAAAAAACATCAGGGGCGCGCGGCGATCGGCGATCTGTTTCGCGGACCCAACTTTTGAAGACGGGACACCCGCACCCAAACTGGAACAAGGGATCCCACGTTCGTGACCCTCCATTTTTTCAAAGGGGGATTCGCCAAAGGCAAGCAGGCAAGCCAGCTTTCAAGCAAACCAACAAATAACTAAACAAGCAAGCAAGGAAACAGAACGGACCCAAATGCCTTAGCCTTTTCATTGATCTACACCCCCAATCCCCGAACAAACTTGGAACCTGGCCCTCGCGTAGCCCGCCCTCCCATCCGCGAGGGCTACGCATGGGCCACTCCGGCACCTCCAGCGGCTCCTCTTCCGCTTCCGCGTCCTTCCCTGCGGTGCTTTTCAGGAGTTCGTCTTCCCGGCCAAATGGGGAGGGGGGGAGGGGGACCGCGGGTTGATGCTCTTGGACTTTTGGAGCTTGGCCTGCGTGGCCTGAAGTGCTCTTGGCGCTTCCGGGCCAGCTGAGATCGAACTTGCTTGCGAGTGCCACTTTGTGTGGCTGGCCCGAATTTTCTGTCGGGAGGCGTTGCAATGTCGGATTGGCCTGCCTGGATTGGTCCACAACAAATCAACATATGACAAATCCCGCGGCTTGGATTTGCTCGCCACATGTTCAGGAAGTCACCTTTAATCACCTCCTCTCACTCTCTGCCCTCGCTGCCACGCCTTTCTTGCCGCCCTTGGCGCCCTTCCCTTTGGCTTTGTCATCCTTGCCCTTGGCATCCTGACACCGGAAACAGGCTACTCAAATGTGTCAAATGTGAACCGCTTTCAAAAAGGTCTGGTCGTAGTGCTTGTCGTTTATCTGCGAATCTGGTCGTTGATCTCAATGCATCCGAAAAGCATGCCGGCACAGCCATCCGAAGCACCAACTCTGCAAAGGAAGAGACACCGTTTCTGTAAGTTCAGCCTGCATGGCTCTCCCCATAGGCACCCTGGTAAGGCTCCTCTTGGGAGGCACAAAAGGAGAGAGCGGGCCGTTCTGCAAAGAAACCCACTGATGCCCTGGTCCCAAAAAACAGTTGTTGGGCCAGCCGCTTCGACATTCACACGTGCAATCCAAGGCCTTGCCCTTCTTGCCATCCTTCCCCTTCTCTCCTTCGTCGTCATCCTCATGCATGATCTGGGATTTGGAATGAAAGAACCCGAAGTTCAGCACAGAGAGGGTTGAATCCAAAATGCAAAAAAGGGCCAAAGCGCCGAGCTGCAGAAGCTCAGATAGGGAACCAGGAACCTCTCTTCTGGATGTTTTCGCGGAGGGAGACAATTTGGGATGTGTGTCCAAATGGGGGAACCCACTTCTTGGATGGTTTGAACAGGCAAGCAAGTGGAGATCTACCCCTCAAACGAAGGGCTCCATAAGAAAAGGACACCCAAATGGGTAGCGGTAGCTTCCTTTGCGTTTCCCTTTAAAGCAACCTTAATAGGGGGTTTGCTCAAAATAGAACCTTTCTACCAAATAAAACTAGCTTTTTGTTTGCAGTCGGCTCCCTGGCCATGGCCTGCAAAAAACCGACGCGGCTCGAAGGGCAACCTGCGCTTTGTCAAAGCGCTGGTAGAACTCATCGAACCTCGGCCGAGCGCGAGCGGCACATGTCCATGACTCGGGTAAGGAATGTGCGTGGGCGGCAGCGCGCAATGGCTCCGGGAGAGAAGTTGCTGGCTCAAGTCCTATGGCTGAGTTGTTCGAGCGCAGAAATGCGGACAAAGGACTCTTACCTCAGCGAACATCCCACAAGCCTGGGTCCCTCACGTGCTGGGACCGTGTCGTTTCGCTAACGCAGTGGTCCGTAGCCCTCGTCCATCCCCCAACTGACCCACTCATCCCTTCGTTGTTCCTATTCACGGAACCATGACCATGGGCCGCAGGAGTGGCGACAGTGCCTCACAGCTTTGTCCAAACCAACATCCTTGTGTTGGGTTCTCCTTGCAGGGTTCCAGAGTCTGATTCTTTTTGATTTGGCCCGAGTGGTCTGCAAAGACTTCCCCAGCTTCCTTGGGCCGAGGCGGAGGCATCGTTTCGGGACCTTCAGTGCGCCCTGTGTCCCGTCCAGCTCAATTTGCCGGCGCCCGCTGAGGTCGCCACTTCTCGGGAAACTCTTTGCCGTGCTCGGGGTTCTGCCACGTGCGAGAGCACAAAACCAAAGCTCAGCCAAGAATAACACGCTTTTGACCGGCACTCACGCAGAGACACACTCTGTTGTTGGTTGAAAACTAAGGGGGTCGGTACGGAAACCCTCGCAGCAAGAGTGCTCTAGGTTCAACAGCCAGAGTCTGCCTCCGATCAACTCCCAGGCTTCTCGGAAGGGCAAGTCACAACGAACAGAAAGAAGCTTCAGCCAACAACGAGGCTGTATCTATGCTGCCGCTGCGTTGATGTGGCATCCTTAGAAACGGGGCCCAAAGCCATGGCAGGGAGCCAGCAGCCGCCAATCATCTTTGCTCAACCAGACCTGTGCATGGTACACTGGGAGGTTTAACAGGTCCCTGGCCAATGATCACTCTGCGACGGCCAGCTAGCGTTGCTTTTGGTCTGGGCGCCTATGGGGCAGAAGAAAATAGGTTTGCCGGTGACCTCCCATGGGCCTATGGGGCAGAAGAAAATAGGTTTGCCGGTGACCTCCCATGGGCCTTCATCCTGGAACCGCTGGTTCAGCGGGTCAAAAGTCGGCTTTGACTGCTGGTTTTCGCGGCGAACCACAGGGAGAGTCTCGGAATCGCGGACAAGCCGCCTTTCAGTTGGAACCAAAAAGACTCCGGTGCCATCTTGAAGGGCCGATTCCTATTCTGAGAAACGAACATGTTGAGACATGGGGCCTTTACTACATGGCCTGCCCTTCTTTCAGAACCTATGTTGCTTTAAAGGGAAACCACGGGGACAGAAGGACCGTGGCGCCATCTTGGAACCGGCTCCTCGATTCTTTAGACACGCATCACTGTTCGACAAAAATCGAAGGCCGCACCTGGCAGTAGTCCAGGATCCACTGGCGCCGCTCCTCCAGCAGCTCAGCCTGCGGAGCGACCCCTAGGCGAGCGACTAGGCGCCTAGCGCGGAAGTTCTTCCGGTTGCCTCTGGTTTTGTGGCTGGGTAGGGGTACTTGCCATTGCTGGCATCTAGGCCCCGGACTTAAAGCCCTGGTCGACTCATGGGCGAGGGGTCTTTCTGGGAATCCGGATGTCTCAAAAGCCGAACTGGCCTATCGCCTAAGAACGGAAACTCACGTTGACCCTCAAAATTCAATCAGCACGACTTCTTTACGAAGTTGCCTCAAAACCCATGCGACCTCACCACATGGTGGCTTTCCTTTCTGGGAAAATTACCAAACTGTCACCCCAAGTAAGGGACCTTCGTGATGGCTCGACTTGCTCTTTTTTCCCCAAGGTGAGCTGGTTGCAGATCACAGTAAAGAATCAAAAGGGCCCACTCTGCTAAGGCAATCCTCCCCGCCGCTGATTGCAATGCACTACGTCCGTTTGAATGGGCTCCCGCTCGCTGATTCACTTCAGCCCCATGTTTTGTGCTGGTGGTAGTTGTCTCCGGACCCTCGCGATGGTTGTGCAAAATGCCACTGGAGGGGGAGCGGAATCCGTGAGTCCATGACCATCCTTGGCAACCCTGAGCAAGCCAGCCTTTCGACCATAAGCATGTGTCCAATCTGCAAACATGGTGTTTGTGCGTCCTTGCAATAGTTGGCGAACAATGGTAAGGATGTTGCTTTTGGTGAGCAAAGAAAAGGCTCTTGCGGGAGAGTTCGTGCTGGACAACATGCTCGCTTGCTGAAGCGTTGCGTGTGTTGCACATGCTGCAAGAAACGAACGAGGGGGCCCGCAAAACTTACAAACAAAAGAAGCACCAAACCAGACCAGACCAAACCACACGCAAACAAAACAAACAAACAAACAAACAAACAAACAAACAAACAAACAAACAAACAAGCCAAACCAACAAACAAACAAACAAACCAATCAAACAAACAAACAAAGAAAGAAACAAACAAGCAAGCAAACAAAGAAACAAGCAAGCAAGCAAGCAAGCAAGCAAGCAAGCAAGCAAGCAAGCAAGCAAGCAAGCAACCAAACTACCAAACTAACTAACTAACTAATTGACGATTTCATTGTAGTCCAGCAAGAAGTACGGCTAACCCCTCATTCACACCACCGGATCCCTGTTTAGGGATAGGGTCTTCAAAAGGCTTGCCTATGGGCATCTTTCTTATTCAGCATGTCGACAAGGGGATATACATAAAGAATCCTGGGCAAGAAACATTCATCCTGGGTGGAATCGATCGTTTTACAGTACCCCCAAAAACAAATCCGAGCTCATCCCTCATTTACCCAGAACTGGCCAAGCGGGCTTGTCAAGAAAGTGGGGGGTCGCCCTTTGGTGTCCGCTCTTTCTTTGGATTCCTGTTAAAGTCCCCGTCGCGTCCTTGATGTCTGCTCCCTTCTTCTTCTGCAGCCACTCCAGCTGCTGCTTCAGAGCCTGAAAGCAGGAAACATCGCCAACACCTCACGATTGGAGATTGGCAATTGCAGGCCTCAATCCAGGCCACTCAGAGTGATTGCAGCCCGGGAGAACCAAGATTTAGTACCTTAGTTGGGCCTAGTTGGGTTCCAGCAACCTCCCCCCCTTTTCAAAACATAGTCCCAGCCCGGGCCGAGTAAAGCTGGCCTTCTCGAACACGTCATCTGAATCTTCCTGCATCTTCTTCCTGCACGCGTTTGCGTCTGTGCTTCCACGGGATGGAGTTGTTTAAAGTGGTTACATGCTGAGGGACTCTCCAAATTACTTTTGGCCGGTTCCCTTTACAACACGGCTTGCCGCACTCCTGTTCTCCCTCTGCTTCTGCATCTCCACGACCACATCAGCGTCGCCCTGCACGCAAGATGCACAAGCAAAACCAGCAGGCTTCGTGCTCCCAAAACAATGACTACCTTCGGACAGCCCGTCCTAGCCAAGGAAGTTTGCCTGAAGCCAGGTCTCCCCTTGCGGGTGTAACTAATCTTTGTTGGGGGCCCCGTTTTGCTGCCTTAAAAGCGAAACCAAGAGGAAATCCGGCGTCCCCCTGTTCAAGTCTTGAACTTTGTTTGCGTCAGCGGACGGCAGCCTTGTCCTTCTTGGGAGGAGCCATTCCGAGGAATTCGAACCTCACCCGGCGGCCGGCAGAGATGCATAGGAAGACTGGGGTCTTGAAAATTATATCCTCAGGTGGGTATGGGTCAAAATTAAACCACCAGGGGACCGCAGGTGTTAGTCCATGTTTCCATTTGCCAGGGTTCCATTTTGGGTACCTACTTTTGACCCAGTGCCAGGTGTCCCCTCTGAAGGATTCTTGAGAACCCAAAAGTTCACTTCAAGGGACGCAGGAGGAAGTGAGCATGTGTCACGGCAATCTACCCTCTAACAATCCCTCCCTTGCAAGCCCTTTCCAGGATCTACACAACGTCTGCACTGACGTGGGGTGTTGGTGAGTGAGGGGGAGCCAGGATGAACAAACACTTGGCTCATTGTAGTGGGGATCCGCCAGGTGTGGAATCCGCCGCATCCAGTGGAAAATGGCTGTGGCTCAAAAAAGTTGTACCAAAATGGCACCTTGGTAAATAGAACCAAAGACAAAACCCGCGTAACCCCAGCTCTTTAATTTTGAGCCATACCCAAATGTATGGGTGGGGGGTCAAGCTGTGAATTCCCCCAGGAAAGTGCCTGCAGCATCCGACTGAACGTTACTCCGACATATTCCCGCAAGGATTTCAGAGCATTTGTGTCACAGACTCCGCTCCCACTTGCGAGGGAACCAGAGGGCGGTTCTTGGTCTAAATCAAAAAAACAGCCACCACGTTCCCTCCCCCCCTTTATACTTGCCCTTCGACTTGACCATTTTCATGTTTGGCGTTCCTTAACCCCCACCGCTAAATGGAACCCATCGCAAGCTTTCTTTTGCGGGAGACCACCTCCGATTTTCGGCAGCATCTCTTGGGTCCCCTGCTCCTCCTCGCGCATCTTCAGAAAGCGCCTGCGTTCCACCTCGAGCGAAGTGAAGCATCGAGGTCGATTGGGTTAGGGCCCGAGGAAATGGACCTCGTCGCTGTTCCCGGGTTCTCTGCAAATGCTTGCCTCGTGTGGGCTTCCTTTGGGTTTCCAAGGGGTTTATCTTAGCTGGGAACCATTTACATAAGGTTTGTGTCCACCAGCCATTCCTGAGGGGGCCTGCTCTTTACAACTCGCAGCTGCATAGGTTTGTCTCAAAATTCGGCTGGTTTCCTTTTTGGTTGCCCTTTGAAACCAGCCCCAAAATAAATCCCTTTCGACAAAAAGTACCAATACACACTCCAAGATTCTCGGACCAAAGGGCAATCCCTCCCCTTTGGGGCCCCCCGGCCTTGCGCTTCCAGTGCGCTGCGATGCGAGTGGCCGCCAGAACCTTCGCAGGTCAACTGAAAGCTGAGCCACTTGATACCCTCCCTAGAAGGCACCTTGAGGGCACCTGAAGTTTATTTTCCTCTTGTAGGGACCCCTGTCAGGTGCCATGTTGATGGGTGAGGGTAGATTTTTAAAAATGACATGGTTTTAACAATATAGTCTTAAGCAAATGGAAGGCCAGAAAGAACCCAAGGTGGACAAAATATGTGTGAGTGGATTTGGTTTATGGCCCTCGTTCCCCCTGTGGAGACGGATTTGACTGTCAGATTTTGTGTGTGTGTGAGAGATGTCTCCTCGAAAAGGATCTCCCCTGAAATGGTGAACACGCTGCCCATCAAACAGGGTTGTCATTCATCTGCCCAGCTCCAGCCCCTTCTCATTAGGGCAAGGTTTGCCAGCTGAAAGGAGAGAGCTGTGGCTACTCTGGGCTCAGCTCAACCTGCCTGGCTTTCCAGTGGGTCGCCCTCATTCTCCTTCTCCTGGGTCGCAGCTTGTCACAACCCTCCACATCCGAGACATGGCGTCATCCGAAACCGAAACCATACAAGAATCCAACCCAAGACCATTTCAGGGAGTCTGCCAACAACAAGGGACCTGTGGTGAAGCACAGCCTACAAGGCCTCAGCAAGACGCTATTTGTGAAGAGAGAAGGCAAGAACCTACGGTTCCGAACGCTGCTGTACACGGGCTTGTCTCAACATTTGTCGGTTTCCCTCTCCAACAACCCTATCCCAAAAAAATAGCGCCCACGAATCACCACCTTGCCTACCGGGCGAAAATTCAAGACCCACTTGGCTGGTTTCCTCCAAAAACCTGACAGGTCCCCTTTTGGTGCGGGGTCACAATGTCCTTGTCCCTTTCAAACCATGACAACCAGGTGTCCCTCATCTTGAAACAGGCCCTTCTGCCACTGCAGGCGCTCTGTCGCTTTCAAGAGCCAGCGTTCCAAACGAAGCTCTCCCAAGAAACAAACGGCAGCTTGTCGCGGCTCCAAGCAACTCACTTGCAACCAAAAGACCTGGAAACAACAGGTGATCTCAATTTTGAACCTTGACTCAAGATGGTCACAAAACCAAACATGCGGCAAATGAAAGAAGAACCAAAAGTCAGCCCCGAACGTTCCTCCGCTCCGGTTGCAAGCGACTTGCCCGGCCCACCGCGGCCGCAGCCCGTCGCCTGCTTCTTGGAGGCAGCCTTCCTGGAGGCCTTGAAGAACTGCACCCGGCGATCCTCGCTCGCGGCACACATGCCCCGGACCCAGCGCATGGACCTTTGGTGCGGGGATGCATCTTCACCAACCACTTTTCAGGGCTTACTATGAAAATCACGGCCATCTGTAAAAGCTTGTTCAGATGCCAGTGATAAGCAGAATGAGCATTGCTTATGGGTTGGACTGTCCCCGACCAACATGCATCTACTCCGGTCTTTGTCCCCCTATGTCTGGCTCAGATGTGCGAAAGGGCGACTTATTTCTGCAAACGGACGGCCACACGTTTAAACATCACTCACATGCGACACAAAAGGCCGCCGGGGCCCGCGAAGGGTAACCCGGCTCGATTCCGCGGATCCGGGCCTTCATAATGCTCATCCGGCCTCGCACATTCTTCTGAACGATGGCGGCCTCAGGCTCTGCGGCCGGGCAACGCCTGAAATTGCGGGGGGGAAATGCATGCATCACCCACTTTTGGGAACGAACAAAACAGGCTCCTTCTGTAAGGCAGGGCATACGGCAGCAAAACGAGAAAAGGGATCCCTATACGAGTCAAAGCTTCCAGCTGGAAGCCAAGGCCATGGTAACAACAGACCGGTTCCTTCTGTTTTCCGGGCTTGCAGGACTCTGGACGCGTTGAGCCTTGCGCAAATCTCAGTCTCGGCCAAGCCCTCGTTCCCTTGGGCGCCACACTGCCTGATCTTTGGTGAAGCCGACCTGTCCACCACCACCGATTCGAAAGCACATGGTGCCCAGAAAGCCACAAACTCCTACAGTAGCGGCGAAACAAGTAGCGTCGAGCCTCATAAAAAAAAAAAAAAAAAAAAAAAAAAAATCCTGCCCGAAACCAGCCGGAATCACAAATGTCCAGCTCTGAGCCAACCTCTCTCCCTGCTTCTCCCCCCGTTTAGGGTCCGGACAGCTAAACCGCCCTACGGCCTGCACACTGCTTGCCCCGAGGCCCCTTGTATGCGAGGGGAGGCTTGCGCTATGGCACCATGATCATGACGTACTTCCGCAATTAGAGTGCGAAACAAAGGGTACACTTAGCACACGCTTAGGTGAGTCTTTGAGGGCATCCTTTTCAGGGTTGGCTCAGAAAGAAGCCAAAGGCAAACTACATCTTTCGGGGGATCCCAAATTTTGAGACGCATTTGGAAATTTGACCATCGCACGGCCACAATTGGGCTTCCATACCTAGCAAATCAAAATGCCCCGAAACAATAGCCTTCTCGAACAAGTATCCTTTTTGCATGTCCGGCCAATGTTTAGCCAGTCGGCCATTCTTTGACTGGCAGTTTGAGCTTGATTGTTGCATTGTTGTTTGGCTTCTTGTGTTGCATAAGTTTCCGCAATTCCGACGAAACTTCCCGCAAAATCGGCGAAACTTCCCACAATTCCAGCGAAACTTTCCCAAAAGGAAACAGCGACTGTGAGTATTATTTTCCTTGAGCCTCAACGGTCCAATTCCGGCTGTTTTGCCTGATTCCGGCAAATGTTCATGACTTCAGCCGAAGTGTGATGTATTTAAGATTCCGGCTGAAATTTCAGCTGAAAGAGTTTCTAGGTATGCTAACTGATTGTTGAAGACTGCAGCCACAACCTGAGTCTACTATTTTACGCCCTTATTAGTAACCCCCCCCCCTCCCAGTTGCCGGCACCTCAAAGGGGTCCTTCTTGTCCAGGAGGTCGTCTGGATCCAAGGGCATGCCGAAGACTCCCAGCCCTGGGATGGACACGCAGGATCGCAGGAAAGTGCGGAAACTAGTAGTAATCATCGTCCTATACACTAAGAATGAATAACGGTGATAATAATAACAATATCAATAATCATATTCCTTTTCTTCTTATCCTCCTCCTCCTCGTTCTTCTACTTGTTCTTTGTCCTCGTCTTCGTCTTCGTCTTGATCATTACAGTATCGTCCTCATCATCATCCCCACCATCAGGGTCCTCATCATCGTAGTCGTCATCATCATCGTCCTCATCGTCGTAATCGCCATTGTCATCATCGTCATCGTCATCGTTGCCGTTCCGAAAACTGAGATGCGGGGTATCCCCAATGAAATAGACTCATCGCGGGTAGATACGAGGACAAACAAAGCCAAACACCAAGTTCCGTTGCCAGTGGGACTTGGGCCAAGGCCACCAGACAAGGGACTCGCCGAATTGCCCTGAACGCAATGACACATCAGCGACGCCGGCGTCAGACTTTGTGAGTCCAACACCCAAAAATGACCTGTAATCCCCCTACAATGGAAGATCTCAAACAAAAAGGACCCATCCCCTGTCTTTCTCCCTTCTACAGCGTATCGCAAAAAAGTTCCCAAAAAGACCCGCAAGGGCCCAAACAAAAAAGACGTGTCTGTGAACAGCCCGATGGAAGTGTCTGCCATTTGTGCAGGCCCTGCTTGGCTTCCCTTATGCTTTTGGCATGCTTTTGGCATGGTTTCCCCCACCAAAACGGGTTCCGAATGAGCAAAAAAAGGAGCAAAAACAAGCCCAACGGAGCAAAGGCTGCTTTCAGCTCCAAGGTTGCGGCAGTGGTCGATCTTGTGCTGCTTGTCTTCGATCTCCTCCCGGCACTCCTTGCCGTCGAGAAAGTAGCGAGGCACCTGCAGAAAGATGCATCTCAGCGCAATTTCATGAACTCTCTCCTTCTCTCTCTCTCTCTCTCTCTACACATATATACATATATATATATACATATTGTGCTCACTAGTTCGCTCTATCTTCTATCTCTGTCCCCCTCGCTCTCTCTCCGTCTCTCTCTCTCTCTCTCTCAGGCACCAGCGTGACATAAACTCGCTCTTGGTCGGCTCTGAATGCAAAACAAAGCATATTGTTTAAGCAACCTCCTATTGGCTCCCCATTTTGAGCGGCCATGTCTGGTTTTTACATCTCCCGCCTTCCATTCCACAGTCTCCGGGTTCAGCTTGAGGTCGGTCAAAACCTGCGGAATGGATCCCCCGACGGCTCTGCACCTGAAAAAGCCCCAGAAGTGAAGGGGCTCATCTTCCAGCTATTACCAAAGCTCGAAGAACGCGTACATAGGACAAAAGCTTGCGCTTTAACCCCAAACTGCAAAACCCGCGGGTCCAGCCTTTGGCCATGTTTCTTGCAAACCAGCGCCGTTCTGTTGGAAGACCCTGCGACCGCAAATGAGGCATCCTCAAAAGTCACCGCTACTAATCAAAGGAGTATGTTTCCCGACGTATCTTGACCAAGATCTCTGGTCGCAAACATGTCCGCATGCCGCGGGGGCATGAGGCCTATACTGGCAGTGCCGCAAAGAAGCGCCAACAAGCGTTCTTCAGCGCCATGGAACGTTATTGCAAGCTGGGTAAGTCAGGGAGGATTGGGAAATTTGAGACGGGTGGAAAGTCTTGGGGGCCAGTGATGTGGCTGCAGCTGAACGAACTGAGAACATCGTCCAGAGTGACTCCAGTTTGGGAAGAAGCCTTCAACAGGGAAGAATCCCTCGAAGCCTGGGAAGTTCGAGCAAGTCGGGTAAGTGTTTGCAAACGTTGATCGGCTGTGGAACTTGGGAGTCCTTGCTTTGTCGTCTCGAGGACGCTTGGGACATGGTGTAAAGTTTGTCCACGAGCCGAAGCCAGCTCAGAGTCTGTGAACTTTGCAAGGCGAAAAGTCGTCGCAACGGAGGCCCCCGGCCTCCCTCGAACCCGAGCGAACCGAGTCGGGACCCGGGCCTCGTCTAAGGCCACGAAGCGGTTCAGGGGCCGCAGGTTGAAGGTGATGAGCTGGCCGCACGGGGCCGGCTTCGGCTTCGGCTTCGGTTTGCTTCCTTGCTCGGCTGAGTGAATTTATGTATGCAGGGGGACTTCCTGGGTAGCACAGAAAGTGGCGACTGGAAACACATGTTTCCCAACCATGCCTCAGAATGTTGATGCAGCCTAGTGAAGCCAGCTTACGAATCAAGCAAAACAAATCAAGTATGATTCACATGGTGCAACCCATCGATCACTGTGCAGATCATGTCTGATGTCTATCAAGAAGATGTCCACAAAATTCCGCCATGCTTAACCGGTTCGCTGGTAGGACGTGAAACAAATGTGTGTGTAGATAGATATATATATATATATATATATGCTACCCCCCCCCCAGGGACCTACCTTTTGGTTGCCTCTCCAGTGCATGATTTGCCCATCTAGGACTGGGAGGAACGATCTCTCAACTAGGACCAGGACCGTATCTCTCAACTGGGACTAGGACCAAACTAGGACTAGACGACCCACCTCAGATTCTTACCAAAAAATATACTTCAAGTATAACTTCCTCTGCAATGTCCTGTATACTTTCTAATTATTGCAGTAAACTAGGGAGCAACCTAGCACTAGAACTAAGGATATCTCATCTAGGACCAAACTAGGACTAGACCATTTAAGTCTACTTCTTATAGTATTTGGATGTCAAGTCTTACATTCTGGTGGAAAGAAAGTCATGCTTAATATTTGTTTTCAAACAGAATAACCATAAATGATGATTGGACATTTTCTGAAATTGTATTCTACTGTTCAGTTAGCAGTTGCATAGAACTTGATTAATATATTGACTACGCTTCACAAGGAACTTCCTTTGTATTGCCCTTTGTACGTTCTATTTATTTCAGTAAGCTTGGACCATACTAGGCCTAGAACCAAGGATCTCCCAACTAGGACTAGGACCAAACTAGGACTAGACCATCTAAGAATCTAACTCTAGTTCTTGAAAGTGATTGAATTTCAAGTACAATGTTGTATTGGACAGGAATCGTTTGTACCATTTAATTTGACATAGAACAATCAATACTTAAGTTCGAATCTAAATCGAAATTCTGGCTGGAGTATGTCCTTCTTAAGCTCCATTGAATTTCAAACAGAAATTGGGTCGAATGTGATAAAACATACTAAGTGGAATTCATAAAGAATCCAAAGGTCCAAAACTTGTCTTTTCACTAGTCCTAACACTACCATGGTCAGAAAACACCGTAAAACACAGTGTTGTGTAGTGTTTGTCATACTCAAGTCACATCTCCACCAACGAACACTCGTTAAATGCTCGATTGAATTTGAACACAATTTAATTGGGATTCAATACGGAAATATTTGGTCAGAATCCTAATGGTAATCAAATCTGAGATTTCGAGTTTAAATAGAGCTCCTTTCCCTATGTACTTACAATTCAATTAGAGCTTTAACAGGATTTGATAAGGAAAGAACCCAAGCCTGTATTCAACATCAAGAATCAATATTCTCTAGACAAGTCTTCTTTGCAAACGCGAGTCCAGGCCCGAGTGAAACCCATTGAAACCAACTGAAGTTTCAGTTGAGCCTGGGTTCAAGATTCCCTAGAAAACCTTGGCCTACAATCTTGAATGTGGGCCCAGATTGAAGCAGATTGAATGATTCATCAGGATTTGGATGCTTGCACAGCACTGTGCCAAAGTACAGCCGCGCAAAGTGCAATGTTGAATTTGGGTCTCGATTTAAACCGATATAAACCGATTTAAGTTTAAATCGGGCATGGATTCAAGATTCAAGATTCAAGAATCCAAGCCAACCTTTTCCAGGGAATCTTGAATCCAGGCCTCGATTTAAACCGATTTAAACCGATTCAACTTAAATCGGGCATGGATTCAAGATTCAAGAATCCAGGCCAACATTTTTCAATCCATGCCCGATTTAAGTTAAATCGGTTTAAATTGGTTTAAATCGAACCATGGATTCAAGATTCCCTGCAAATGTGTGGCCTGGATTCTTGAATTTTGAATCTTGAATCCATGCCCGATTTAAATTGAATCGGGTTCAATCGGTTTAAATCAAGCCTGAAGCTTCCAGAACGTCCTTGGAAATGCGTCTTTTTCATTGCTCTCGCCAAAGCCCAAAAAAGGGTAGAAAAAACTCCGCAAATACCAGTGAATTCTTCAAAAAGGTAGGTCCCTGGGGGGGGGGGTACCATATATATATATATATATATGTATATGTGTGTGTATTCCATACAAAAGCATATGTTGGCTCAAAAATACAATGTCTTGCGTCTTCATGGTTCGAACGTTTGGCTCCACCACAAACCGAAAGCAAACGACACCTGGTTGGGTTTTACCACAGCAGGAGAAAATCAGAGGCCCTTTTTGTTGTGTTGCTCCCCAAAAGACAAACCCGGCAAAAGTGTTAAACCCAAGGAAAATAAAAAGGAGACTTATCAGTTCACGTCAAGGTAGAATTGATTAAGCTCACATGTAGCAACATCCTCAAATCCCTATAGGCAAACCCCAACAGTAACTTTGAGAGCCCCCACCACCACCACCCGCCTGCCTACAAGAGTCGCATCCCTTCCAGGCCTGCTCCTTCAACTCAAGTATTCGGATGATTGTGCTCTTCAGGACCTATGCGCTCAGCTCAAGATAACCCCCTTTTGGAGGTCCTGCAACGGGAAACCAAAGGGGTTCACCAAAGTCGTTTGAGACAAACCCCCACTTGAGGTCTGTTCAAAGCCCCCCGAAGACGGAAAACGGTAAAGGTGGGACGAGGAGATGTTGGCAATGCCCTCCGCGTCCCTAAACCACCCCCTCTGGTTTTCATTTTGACTCATCCTGCATGTCACGAGTCAGGCCCTCAAGTTCAAAACCTCTGGGCCCTCTGTCCGGACCGAGCCACACCTCCTTGACAGCAAACTGAGGAAATACGACCTCCTCGTGCACTGTGGCCCGTTCGGTTGGCTTTGAAGAGAAACCAAAAGGACGCCGTCGCTGTCCCTGACTTCGAGACAAAACCATGCACCCAGCTTCTCGACCCGGCGATGCCTTCTTGATGCTGCCACGCTTTTGCGGGTGCACCATCTGGTCGTGGCACTCCTCCAATTTCCTGAAAGCACCGTACAGGGTTGAAAGTACTTCCTCAACACCCCTGGGCAGCCTTCCTTGTCCGTTAGTGACAGGACAATCACTGCGCCTGGTCAAACGGCTAAGTCTTCGTAAGCAGGCGCCCCAGTATCCGACAAGCTTTCCAGACGGTCGTTTGTGATTGTTACATCTTTAGTCGAACTCCGCTTCAAAAAGATATGGGGGTTCCTAACACAACTCCTTGCTCCCGCGCCTGTAGATCTGCAAATACTTGATGTACAGCAGGGCGAAGTGCTGAAACCTTGCCGCTGAAGCATGTTCTCTCTTTTGCTTCCCTCTTTAGCTTCCTTGAAAACCCCTGCAACTCTACCCACTCCAAACAAGAGGGACACGCCCGTTTAACCCTCCAAACCGACACCCCACCCCACCCACCCGCTCACCAACCCCACCCCTACTCGAGCCGTCCGAGTTCGAGCGCCCCACCCGGGCTCGAAGTGCTGGCCGTTCTCCTTGGCGTCCACCGGCAGGTACTCGATCTGCACCTCAGATCGAACGACTCAGAAACTACCCCCATGAGGGGAAGCACAGACAAACCAATTGTTCTTGGAGCTCCAACAGCAATCAAAAGGCAAGTGTTCAAAACTTGGCGGATTTCGGCGGAGACAGCCATGCAGATCCATGGGGTGAAGAGGACTGGCGAAACTCAATGGCGAAGAAAACATGGTGAAGTGCTCTACCTATGCAACGGATCTACCCTAACCATCTAGTTCCACGTGAGGATTAGTGAAGTAAAACGGGAAGGTGTCCCAAACTCAGCAATCAGTGGATTCGTGCTCAATTGGGAGCTGGCCCATTGTAGAGGGAACGTTTCACCTTTGGTTGAAGCAGGCCCCCAGTGCGCCACCACGTCGATTGATCCGGGGTCGCCATTCGGTTGGATATGAGGCTGTTTCAAGAGACAAAACTCCACATGGAGCCCCCATCCACCCATCCATCCCATCCTCCCATCGATCGGGGACCCTTTTTGCCTGCTCCATGAGCTCCTGCATGCACTCCACCCATTTGTTCTGGTACCTCGGCATGCGCTCGCCTCTCGCCAAAAAAAAGAAGCTCTCGCTGGACGCCGGGCGGTCTCAATCGCAGTCAGAAGCGGCTGGTCGAACAAGACTGCCCGCGCATGGTTTGCGTGTGAAAACACCAAAATGGGTGGCGTCCTTTGGGCTTGTGCTGAAACAAGAAGGGCTCCCAAGCAACCTCACACAGGGCGTTCGACTCTCAAAAGAGACGGACGGTCCAGGGTTTCCGAAAGCGGGCGAGGGCCGGGCCTGTTCGCAAAAGGAGTCAGAAACAATTCCCGCTTACCCCAAACTCAGATCCCTTATCTTCAATCTTCAACTTCAAATATCTACCAAATTTGCAGCTAATTTGATTGAGTTTTGCCATTAATTTGGACTCCCCAAGTTGCTAAGATGCGAGGCCCTTTTTCCAAGGGCAGCTTCCATTGCTGCGAAGGTGGCGCACTGTGGTCATCACCAACGTTTCCAAGCATCGTGTCAAAGCAATGCTCTGATTCTATGGTCCGAACTGATTGTGAAACCAGGGTGCCCTGAGTTGCTTGACTCCATTGATACTTTGTGTTTGACAACCTCCCTCAGCCAGAATGCAACCTTCAAGCAAGACAAATTTGACAAACATGACTCCAGTTAACGGGTCTGATTCAAGGGTTACGTGTATTGGTTTCTGAACGAGGGATCCCCTGCAAGAAACACTCAAAACACTCGACGTTGGCAAATTCTGGAGTAGCCCGATCAGTGGTGTCTTTAGGGCACCTCAAAATTGGTGCTTTGGGGTGGAAGTTTAGCATGTTGTTCTAAGAGAAACCGGTTGCTTTGCTTTTGGTTTCCTTTTAGAACAGTAGCAACGGGTAAAATCCTCTTTGGCTTCCCATTATTGGGTTGTGTAAATTGGTGGGTTTGCTGCCCTGGTTTTCGATATATGACTAACCATGCGCTGGGAAAGGGGGGACCAAAACCATGTTGAGACAGACCCACCTCGATCCCTAAGCGGCCCCAGGCCCCACTCAAGCACGCCCTGCAGGCAAGCGGAAGACAAGCAAGCCAGGCTGATCCACCCTCAAGGGGCTGAGAAAACAATCAAGCCTCTTCACGTTTCCAGTAAATAAATATCATTCCTGATTCCTGGATCCTTGACAAAGGCTCCAAGGTTGATTGTAGGATGCCCGCCCTAAGGCGGAGGAAAACCAACAACTCGTTGCCACGTGCCAGGGCACGTCGCGTGCGACATGGCTGCGACCTTGGCATCAGCTGGCTCAACACGGGGTTTCCCAACACAGGAGACCGAAAATATCCCTGCGTGAATTTACCTCTGCTCGCCTTCAAGAAAACGGCGACAACTTGGAATTGCCGCTACATTGTGGATCGCCAATGATTCATACCAAATGGGGTTGAGCGTTGCTGATTTCAAGCGTTCCATCGCTGCATCTGCCAACAGCCTCAATTCCATACAAACCTTGGGGACATGATATTTGAAAACGTAAGGAGCTCCCCCGCCACCCCCCCCCCCCCCCAACTATCCTTCTCAAATTCACCACAAACTGCTGAAAATGTTAGCCGAAGCGATCAGCTAGTTGACTGGTCGCGGCTGGGCACGTGGCTGCACTTGACGCCACAAGATGCGATGTCACGTCATGCCCAGCATCAAAGCTTTTCAGATGTGTGCGTGTGTTGTTTGATGAAGAGTTTTGACTGCCCATGTGTCAATTCAGAACGGTCATGAACAATTCTTTTCAGAAACAACTTAGAACCTGCATGTCGGGCCCGGTCAACAGTCAATGCACGTGTCCCAGCTTGACATGATCCCAAACTCTGCGGCAGCAAATGTGCTTCTGATCCGCATATCTGCGTATAATAAGCTGCATGCAAGGCAAAATCCAGCCTGTGGTAGCGTCACCCCAGAAAATTGTTAGGTGGGTTGGAATGATGACTCGCGACTCTGAATCAAAACGCATGCGCTTCAACCGAACAAATTAAAACACAAAGCTTGCGCAACCCGTGCAGAGCTCCAAACGACGCTTGCAATCAAATATCGACGGAAACCGCTTCTTCCAGAATGTTAAGGGGACAGCGCGTATCCAAGCGATATTGCCTGACCATCCATCAGGATCCAGCCTGTGATGGGAACAGTGTGAATGTCACGCGCCTGCGCACGACTTCCACTCACAATGGGCCTGGCCACGCGAGTGGCCCGCAAGGGCGGGCAGTGAGCGACCACTTCGAGCAGGCCGCCGGGGCCTACAACGCCCGGCCGCGCGAGACGGTCTACGGGGCCCCAGAGGACGTGGAGCGGCCGGCCACCGAGTTCCGGCTGCTGCAAAACAACACGGACAAGTTCCAGCACAACAAGGATCTGACCGACCGCCGCATCAAGGCCAGAGGACGCGGGGGCCTTCAGGGCTCCCACCAACGCCGCCCGGAGCTTCGACCCCCAGTACGGGGCTGCAGGCCGTGGACTCCATGACGGTCCGCAGCACCGAGGGGCGGGAGACCCTGCTGAAGCTGGCCCTGCCGGCGCCCAAGGGCAGCGGCAACGCCGCGGGCAGGCAGACGAGGCGCGGCCGGCCCGCTGCGGCAAGGCAGCTGGACGACTTCTTGGGGCAGCCCAGGAGGCCGAGGCCAGCACAAGGAAAAAAACATGTCTTAGCATATTGATGGGCTTTGGGGCCAAATCGCATGCAGCCAATTCCACATTTTCATGCGTTTGATTCGTCACTCACCGGCTGCCCTCAAAATGCAAGCATTGAGAAAAGGAAACAAAAGGTCTCAACAGCCCCCTAAATCGTTCCATGGCCTTCCTCGGTTCCCCAATCTGCTCGTTCTGCACCCAGAAACTGTTTTCCTCATGCTCCGCAATTCTTTGAGCCCCGAGATCCAATTCTAGGCCAGGAAATGGCACAGCAGCAACAATTCAGCCTTCAAGGTTTGGCCGCCCTGGTTTGATAGAAGGCTCTACCAGCGTAGAAGCCAAAGTACTCCTGGTACTGCGCTTCAGATACGAAGATCAAGCGCTGTCCGCCGCTGTGTGGCACAGTCTTTGTCGTTGTCAGCAAAAGCACCAGGATGTCAGCTTTGTCGCATGCTTTGTCAAGCTCGATCTCCACTTCTAATCGAGACTCGCCCTTCTTGCATTGCAAACATTCAGAGATGGTGTGATTGTTGCCCCCTGCCCCCACCTCTTCCAACATGAGAAAGGCATCAGCAGCTGGAGCTCCGGCGGCATTCACCACTAAAACACGTTTGTCAGTCAACGTCACTGTAAGGCTTTGGTTTGTCATTTCAACTACGCACTGGTGCATTCCCAGTCCCTTAGGTAAATTTGTCCGAGCTTTGGGATTGCCGCAGCATGAGGACCTCGAGAACAATTGGTGCCCGGATTTGGCAAATTGCAGATGCCGGTTGATGACCTTGGTGCTTTTCAAGCTGTCAGGCTGGATCACTGCACCCCTGTGTAGATCGGCAATGTCAACTACTTGTCCATCCTCAAACGCAGACGCTCGCAACACTCGAAACCTGGCATTGAATTCTTCCCACTGTTGCCAGGTTGGTTCTGACTCAAACAAGTGGTAGTCCATCAAGTTCCACGGTTGCAAATCGTCAGAGAACTTAGACAAACTCAGCATCAAGTGCAACCAAATGTAGGGCAAGTCGATGCGGTACAAGCACTGGGAGGGGTCGCCGTCCTTGAACTTGACGCGAATAAGCTCCACCTTCTCAGGATCTAGATTGCCGACCGTGTCGCGAGACGAAATCCATCTGCCTGAAACAGCTGCGCGAAGCAGTTCCTTGAGGTCTGCCTCTGGCTCAAGCTGAATGGCGTCGGGATATTTCTGCCTCAATTGTCTCATAACTGCACCCACCAAGGCAGTTGCTGCAGCGTTGGGCATCTCCATCAAGGCCTCTAGAAGGCACTCCAAAGCTCTGCCATGCCCGCCCATGTCTTCGATCAGAAGGTCTTTTAGGCGGTGGCCGGGCAGCACCGGCTGTTTGTTGCGGGTTACGGCGGTCACGCGTGGCAGCTCCAGAAAAACTCGGGCCTGGGGACTGCCAGCAAGTCCACTCTTCACATTTTGCAAAGCGGCCACACAGGCTACGACAAAGGGGCCTTCCATTTGGTTGACGAGGCGGCAGACCTCCTGCATCACCTGATAGAATGGCAGGTCCTTGCCCGCAGCATCACTGCGGTCAGTAAATCCAGGCAGACCTTGCATCCCGTCGACTCCGATCACCACCGTGCTATGATTGAGCTCATCACGCAGCACAGACTTAAGCACAGGCGAGGGTGTGAGGTCGGCAGGGCATTGGATGCGGAATTCGGCGAAGTCTGTTGGAGCGCCGACCTCCCGAAAAGCCTCCTTGTTTGCATTCCTCAGCTGCCACAGCATGCGGCATGCCACAAAGCGTCGGGCATTGAGCTCCTCCGTGGCCCAGTCCCCAGGAGAGAGGCCGTTCTCGCAGCTGATCATGAAGCTCGTCGTTTGCTTGCTGAATTTCAGTTTCTGCCTTTCAGACACATTCTGCAAGCACTGCTCGACCAGGCCCGGGAACTCTGTCAGCAACCGGGACTTGCCTTGAACAAAGGATGAAGCTGTTTGTCACTGTTCTTCCCCTTTTGCTCGTGCAGCTTCTGGATGGGGATCTGCATGCTTTCACGGAGCTCCTCCTTCCCACAATAGTCCCATGTGGCCCCAACTGTTGCAAGCAGTTGGTCGGCTGCTCCAAACTTCAACTTCTTCGCGAGCAACTTCTCGCACCAACTGCTCCGTGCCTGTCTCCAAAATCGGGCGCGGAGGAGTGTAAGGACATCAGCAATTGTTGGATATATCGAGTCGGGTGGCTCCGCCTCAGCAAAAGAATTTCAAATCAGGCAGATATGAGCAGGTACATCTAAAATTGAACAATAGAAGGGGATGGAATGGCAGCACAACGGGCCAAACCATCGAACAGGAGCTCTGCCCGTGGATGCAAAGCCGGAATGTATGGTTGAACTCACTGCATCAAAGAGAACATTCACAGAATGCACTTGGGCCTTCAGCAGCCAGGACCCCAATGGGTGCAGAGACATAAAGACATCAGAGTTTGCCCTCCCTCTCCCCGACGGCAGAAGGGCAGGTCTTGCTCTTTGAAAAGCAAGCTGAAGGCAATGACAAAATCATTCACAAGGATCAACGGCACGTCTCAATCAATGTTGACCGGCAGGAATGACCGACCTCCCCGAATGGCAAGGAATGGCAACCATCCGTTCATGGGGGGCTCCATACCGAGCCTGCCAACGACACGAACCGCAACAATCTGCACAAATGCTATCTTGGGATTTCCTGTTTCTGTGGGTGTTGATCAGGGCAGCCCCACCAAAAGCATTTGCGGGCCGCGCGGGGGAATTTCCAAAACCGCACGCAACGACCAACGTCCCAGAACGCAGCCGGCCGGCGGAAGCGACCGACTCAGCCCGCCTCGGACTCCTTCGTCCGGCCGCTTGCCTTCGCCTTCTCCACCTTCCTCTCCGCCTCCTGCACCTCCTTCTTCGCCTCCTGGACCTTCCTCTCCGCCTCCTGGACCTTCCTCTCCGCCTCCTGAACCTCCTTCTTCGCCTCCTTCACCTCCTTCTTCGCCTTCTCCACTTTCCTCTCCGCCTCCTGCCGCATTGCCCGAGTCCTCCGCCGTCTCCAAAACGGTGGCAGCTCCAGCGAGACGCCTCACCGCCATTGCTTGCTGCTCCTGGCTCTCAACCTGCCGCTGGGCGCTCTCAACCTGCCGCTGGGCCGTCTTCCGCTGCTGTCGCGCCAGGAGCAGGTCCTGCCCGGGCCGACTCCCACGCCGAGCGCTCGAACGCGCTCGAACGGACGGCCTCCTCCAATGCCGTTTTGGCTGCTTTGGCCTGAAAAGCACCCACAACAAACGTGCATTTTGAAAATGTCACGAAAACGCTTGTGAATCTGACCTGTTGGTAAAGGAAGCAAACACTGCTGCCTCCGCCACAAACTTCCGCAGCTGCTTCTCCAACTCGGGCTTATTAACCCGAACCTTCCACTTCCCTGCTGGATCTACCAGCTTCACTCTTCCTGAGCTCAACCGCGCCTGAAAATCCACAACGAACGTATTGACGTGCTGCTAAAGCGGCGCATGACCACGAGACAAGGCTGGGACGTCGCTTTCTCTGAAGGTCCGCCGCCTTCTCGAGATCCAGCCGGTCCTGGCAGCCAAGAAGCCAGCGTTCAAGCTTGATGCACTGCCCCCCATGCCTCGGCAATGTCGTCCTGGCGGCAACCGGCAAAAGATGCGAACAGGCTTCGGTCGGAGGAGTCCTCTTGCGCAGTCCAGGCGCGCCGAGCGACTCCGGCATGCAACGGGTGCCGTTTTGCCCCTGAGCAAAAGTGGAATTTGCTTGCGAATGCGGGCAACTCTGAGAACTGGGCCAATATGCTGTCCTGGCACGGCAGCACGAAACGGGAACATTCAAGGGAGGGACATCATGGTCCTTCAGCCCAAGAACTCCTCGCGCAAAGTCCTGAGAATCGAGAAGGGACTCCTGAAACCCGAAACCTTTCGAGAAAAAAATATGTTCCAAGACCCAGGCCGTGCTCGGCTGCAGGAGCAGCGCCAACGCGATCCCGAGGCAGAGGCAGACCTGGCCGCTGCCTACCGCGGGCACGGTAGCGTCACAAACTTGCCAGCCTCGGCTTTTTGTCCTGGTCCGCATCATCGCCATGGCTCTTCGAAAAAGCGCTTGAGCGGCCTGCGATTCTTCGAGAGAACAGCGAGGCCCTGCAACCAGCAAGTTGGGGGAGCAGAGCACCAAGAAGTGAAGGGTTAAGGCATGTTGCACTGCTCCCAGCTTGAACCCAAACAAGACCACCCAAAAGAACAAAGCAAGTCCGAAGCCGCAGTTCTTTTACCGGAATTGCTGAAAGTAGCACGCTTCCAGGGCACGGGCGCGCCTGGAGCAGGAGGTGCGTTGACCCCCGTGAAACCACGAGGCAACACAACGCGAACCAATTAATTTGGGATTTTTGGTCCCCAAACCCTGCAAAACAGCAAAATTCTCCAACCAGCTGAACGTTTTTCCGATGTCACCGGTCTTCGTCACCGCTCCGTTTTTGGTGCAAAAAGCGCTCAAAACGGCCAACTCCGAAAAGTTTGTTTTTTCGTGTCAGACGGCAAGTGTGGTGCCTGAGCCTCTAGATTCGCTCGTTTTCTGCAGAAAACAGGCTCCAGACGCTCTTTGCTCTGGATTCCGTTTTCTGCCCGGAAAAGCAGGCAAATTCCATCCCGCCGAGCTTGTCACCGTTTGTCACCGCTTCGTCACCGCTCACTTTTGGGTCGAAAAAGTGCGCAAAAGCGGTCCAGTTCCCGAGCCGGAGGACTTCGTTCTTCGCAGGGTTTGCCGTGGCACGACAGCCAGCCGAGGACCTTGCTCGTAACGCGGCAGCCCGCCAAGGTTTCGGCTTGCGACACGTCAGCCTTGTCACCGCCTTTGTCACCGCTCCGTTTTTGGTGCAAAAAGTGCTCAAAACGGCCAACTCCGAAAAGTTCGTTTTTTCGTGTCAGACGGCAAGGGGATGCCCCTAGTTTTCGCTCGTTTTCGGTCGAAAGCAGGCTTCACTTTACTCAGGATTCCGCTTTCAGCCCGGAAAACACGCGAATTTCATCCCGCCAAGCTTGTCACCTCTCTTTTGGCCGAAAAGTGAGCAAAAGCGGCCAGTTCCCAAGTTCCGAGGACTTCGTTCTTGGCAAGTTTGAGTCAATAATGGAACGGGCTATTATGCCCGGCCGCAGGTGAGCCATTGTCCTATAAAACTATGCACACAATGCATAGCTACATTGGTCAATTCATCATGCGCTACATCGGTCAACTCATCAGCGCCGCAGGCCAAGGTGTCAGAACTGTGTCCCAAGTGTTTTGACCAACGCATCGGTCAATTCGTCATAACGCTCCGAGGCATCATAAGTGAAGGATATTTTCCCTCACTTCATGTATGTACTCCATCGATTTGCCCGAAAATCCTGGTCCAAAGCGACTCAAGGGCTGTTGTGTGTTGTAAATTTATAACACCCAGCGCTACCGAATGGTCCATAGCGACTCAAGGGGGCGTTGCGAAATTACATCACCCCGCGTTACAAGTACGTAACACGACTCCTAAGAAAGCATGTTTGAAGGACCGCAACATCCCGGAGGTCCTGGACAAACGGAGAGGCAACTGACGGACGCACGTCACTGCAGGGCAGCTGGCCTCACTGTCAAACTGGACGGTTCGCCCCAGCAGCGGCTGCAGTTCTGCCACGCACCCCACGGGCGCAGCGAGCGTGGACGGCCACACTCTGACCCTCTGGCGCGCTCCAACAGGGAGCTCCGTGGCCTCGGCCAGCTTACAGTGGAGCAGTAAAGGAGGGGGCCTACATTGCCCTGATTAGATTTGGATTTTGGGTTTCAAAACCCTGCCAAACAGCCAAATTCTCCAGCCAGCTGAACGTTTTTCCGATGTTACCGGCTTGTTACCGCTCCGTTTTTTGTGCAAAAAGCGCTCAGAACGGCCAACTCCGAAAAGTTCGTTTTTTCGTGTCAGACGTCAAGTGTGGTGCCTGAGCCTTAAATTCGCTCGTTTTTCGGTCGAAATCGGCTCCAACCGCTTGCTGTGGAAAGCAAATTCCATCCCGCCGACTTGTCACCGTTGTCACCGCTTTGTCACCGCTCGCTTTTGGGCCGAAAAAGTGCGCAAAAGCTTCCGGGGACTTGTTCTTTGCAGGGTTTTCCGCGACACGACAGCCAGCCGAGGACCTTGCTCGGAATGCGAGCAGCGCTGCGATGCTGCTTCCGTGCGCGGCCACCTGCCGTCCGTGGTGGCCAGGGCTGCTGCTGTTTGCCGGAGGCTGCCGTGTTCACCGCCAGGTTACACTTACGCGTATGGTGTGAGAGCGGGGCCCAGGATCTGCTCTTCAAGGGCGGCCACCTGGCCCCTCGGCTATTTGTAGGGCCGAGGCTGCCCCCTGACTCCGAGCTTGCCGGCAAGAAGGCCGTCCACTTGTGCCATGGTCGAGGCCGTTGCCGTGTCCTGGTCGCCGGCCGAGCGGTACGCAGCGCCTGGTCCGGACCCGTCCAGTAGGTTGCGCGCTTGCCGTGCGGCAGTCGGCCACAGTGTCCACTTGCGTTAAGGTGTAGGCCACCGGTCGTCTCCGCGTCCTGCGCCGTGCCCGCTCGGTAGTCGACCAACAACGCGTCCACTTGTAAGGAGTGTAGTAGGCCGGCAGGCAGCCGTAAGGGCCGCGTCGCCGCTGCGACGGAGTAGCAGTCTGCCATGACGCTCAGAGTAGTAAGGAAAGGCAGCTTTAGTATCCTATTAATTTGTGATTTTTGGGCAAAAAACGCTGCAAAACTGCACAATTTTCAACCAGCTGAATGTCACCGCTTCGTCACGCTCCGGTTTTTGGTGCAAAAAGCGCTCAAACAGTCAACTCCGAAAAGTGCGTTTTTTCGTGTCAGGCGTCAAATATGCTGCCTGGGCCTCCAAATTCGCTCTCGCCGAAAACCGGCTCCAGACGTTTGCCGTGCTCCGAATTCCGTTTTCTGCCCCGAAAAGCCTGCGAATTCCAGCCCGCTAAGCTTGTCACGCTTATCACCGCTCGCTTTTTGGGTGCAAAAGTGCGCAAAACCGGGCCCAGTTCCCGAGCCTTCTCCGCAGGGTTTTTCGCGGCCCGACAGCCCGCCAAGGACCTGGCTCAGAGCCCGACAGCCTGCCGAGTTCTCCCCAGGTCACCCCGTGGACTGAGGTGATTGTAGTTGTGGGACACAACTTTCAACACCAAGCCGCTATCTCGCGTTGGCTTTCTGTGGGGCATACCTGCTCCGACGGCTCGCCGCCATCCTTGGTCCTTTTTGTGCCAGTGTGTGCTGTGTATGAAGGGGTCTATCCCTGTGCCTCGCAGGTCTTGCCACAGGTCATGGAATGTGCCCGATGCTTTTTACCCAGCTCGCATATTCTTGCGGTCACTGAGCGTGTCATGCCTGGCCTCTTCCCAAATTTAGCAGATCTCTGGCAGGTCAGATGTGTTCCCGGGTATGATCCTGTTTACAGGCCCTCTCTCTTTAGAGGGGGTTTCCCAAATGGATTCTATTCTACCTGAGAGGCTCCTGGCACTCGTCCGTCCAGCATTTGACCTCGTCCTGCGAAGGATTCGAAGTCTAAAACGCTGCGTGCAGGCGTGTGGCTGCAAAATAATGACCCCTAGATATGCTTGCAAAATGCCCAGCAGCTGCGTTTCTGCAAGGCGAGCTAAAAAAAAACAGGGAAAAAAAAGAAAGCCAAGCCAAACCAGCCAGAAAGCCAGCCAGGAGCCAAGCCAAACCAGCCAGAAGCCAAGCCAAACCAGCCAGAAAGCCAGCCAGAGCCAGCCAAGCCAAACCAGCCAGAAAGCCAGCCAGCCAAGCCACCAGCCAGAAAGCCAGCCAAAGCCAAACCAAACCAGCCAGAAAGCCAGCCAGAAGCCAGCCAGAAGCCAAGCCAAACCAGCCAGAAGCCAAGCCAGCCAGAAAGCCAGCCAGAAAGCCAGCCAGAAGCCAAGCCAGCCAGCCAGAAGCCAACCAAAAAAGCCAGCCAGGGTTTCCTTTGAGGGCGCTCGCCTTGCAGAAACAAAGGCAGCTGCTGGGCATTTTGCCAAACCGCATATCTAGGGGTCATTATTTTGCAGCCACACGCCTGCACGCAGCGTTTTAGACTTCGAATCCTTCGCAGGACGAGGTCAAATGCTGGACGGACGAGTGCCAGGAGCCTCTCAGGTAGAATAGAATCCATTTGGGAAACCCCCTCTAAAGAGAGAGGTGCTATGTTCTGTGTTCGCGCTTTCGCGCGGCGCAGTCTGCAGCTGTCGCTGCAGTCGCTGCGCAGTTCGCGCAGTTCGCGTCTGAACTCCACGCGGAACTCCACGCGGGCAGGGCCCAAAAAATGGGACATGCCTGTTTCCAGTTCCAAGGCACTTCGAGAACACAAGTGCCACTTGTGTTGAGCATCGCCACCTGCCCGGCATCGGAGCCACACGCCAGCCCGCCGAGTCATACGGATCATACGGATCATACGGTCATACGGTGGCGGTTGGGCACTCCGGGTGCGCCACCCTGCCGCGCCACCTGCCTGGCATAGAAGCCTCCCGGCCGCGCCACCTGCCCGGCATAGAAGCCCGGCCGCGCCAGCTGATACGAAGCAGTGTCCGATTATGTCGGACACTGGCTCCACACCTAGCGCACCACCCGGCCGCGCCACCTGCCCGGCATAGAAGCCAGCCTGCCGCAACTCTCGCCTGGAACGGACCCACTTCGAAAAGCACAAGTGCCACTTGTGCTTTCGAGCTGTCGAAATTTTCGACAGTTTACCGACAGTTTACCGAAAATTTCGGCCGTCGTGCGCAGGTCTCGCTTTTGACCGGCGCCATCGGTCAAATCAAATTGAGTCACATCCGAAAAAAACCCTGGTGCGGGCCTGGTGCGGGCCTGGTGCGGGCCTGGTGCGGGCCTGGTGCGGGCCTGGTGCGGGCCTGGTGTGGGCCTGGTGCGGGCCTGGTGCGCCTTAGCCTGTGAGGGGTTGTTGTGTCAAACACACCACCCCCGAATCACGAGGATTACAAGGAAACTTCTCCGAACGGACTGAATGGTACTCAACTGCGCTCGCGGCAGGAATCGAGCCCCGTGCGGAGTAAGAAGCGCTTAGCTCCTTGGCCGACGCCTTAGCCACTGGACTAAGGCGTCGGCGAGAACATATGTAAACATGTTTGAAGGACCTGTTACCGGCAATATCCCGGAGGTCCTGGACAACGGAGAGGTGACTGACGGCACGCACGTCACCGCAGGGCAGCTGGCCCTCGCTTTGACGCCCTACGCTCAAGTAACGGACCTGGCGGTGAACACGGCAGCCTCCGGCAACAACGCAGCGGCCATCCAGTCCCTGGACGACAGAGTCACCGCAGAGCTGGCCTCAAAGCTGGACAGCAGCGCGCTGGCGCCGGCAATTGCGCCCCTGGCCACGGCGGCGGCCCTGGCCACCACGGACGGCCAGGTGGCCGCGCACGGAAGCAGCATCGCCGCGCTGCAGAGCTCGCTGACCACGGGTCTCTCCAACAAGGCAGACCAGTCGGCCTTCGACGTGCTGGAGGGCGTGGTGGCCACCAAGAGCACCCCGGACGGCGTGGACCTGAAGCTGTCCAACTACAGCACCACGGCGGCCATGAACGGCTCCATCGCCTCGGCCAACAACGCCACGCTGGCCACGGTGGCCGCCAACTACGGCCTCAAGACGGTGGTGGACCAGCACTCCCTGGACATAGCGGCGAGGATCACGCCGCTGGAGGTGGACACCAAGGTGGCCAACGCTCTCCTGGGGGCCGTCACCGCCGCGGCGCTGGCCTCCGAGCTCGCAAGCAGAGACGCCTCCATCGCGGGGCTGCAGGCCTCCAAGGCAGACGCCAGCGCCCTGACAGCGTACGCCCTGCAGTCGGCCGTGGACACTTCCTCGGTGGTGGACTCTAAGATAGCGACAGCCCTCCTGGACGCCGTCACCACGGCAGCCCTGGACGCCGCCCTCCTCGGCAAGGCGGACGCAAGCGCGCTGGCCTCCCTGCTCTCCACGGTGGACGGGTTGGACACGCCGCTGGAGGTAGACACCAAGATAGCAAATGCCCTGCTGGGTCTCGCCACCGAGGCCTTCGTCGCAGCGCAGCTTGCTAGCCGGGACGCCAGCATCACGGCGCTCCAGGGGGCCAAGGCCGACGCGACGCTGCTGGCCTCATACGCCACGAACGCCGCGCTCTCGCCAGCGAGACCACGCTCCAGAGCGCCCTCGACGCAATCCTCGCGGAGCTCGCCGCCCTGCAGCTTTCCGGCAGCGGCGGAGTTGTTAACGCGCCGGCCTGGGCGGGCTTCACAACTTGGGAGCTCGTTCGCGGAAGCAACGTCGTTCGCAACCTGCATCTGGAGGCTCCTCTCTCTGCTGCGCTGGCCAACGGCGACGACACGCTGCATCACGGCCGACTGCTACTCCATCGCAGTGGCGGACGCGGCCCTCGCAGCTGCGCTGCTGGCCTACTACATCTCGGCGCAAGTGGACGTGCTGCTGGGCGACGACACGCGCTGCTGGGCGACTACCGAACGGCGAGCGCCCAGGACAGGCGCCATCGCGGGTGCGCTGCGACCGGACCAGGACGTTTTCACCACCGCCTCGGCGCTGGTGCATTGCTTGGCTGCCGACCAGGACACGGCAATGGCCTCCAGCCCTGCTCGGCTACTACACCATCGCGCAGGTGGACGGCCTCCTGACGGGCAAGCTGGGCGTGAGAGAGGGGGAGAGAAGGCGCCCGCGTCCTCCACGCGCCGGTCCGCAAGCTTCTTGTTGTACCGGAACTTGTCGGCGTTACAGCCGGAACTCGGTGGCCGGCTGCTTCTCCTCAGCGCTCCGTACACCGTCTCGTGCGGCTGGGCAAAGTAGGCCTGCTGAGCTCCCGGCCGGGAGTCAGGCTGCAGGTGACGATGTTCCAGGGGTTCACAACCAGGGTCAGCGTGTAGCCGTCGACGCTCAGAGCCGCGACGGTGCGTGGCCACGCTGCGCTGGGGCGGACCGGCCAGTTCGACAGGGAGACGTCCATGAAGCTTTGCCAGCTTTCAAGGCAGCGTCCATGCGGCAACACGCCGGCTAACGAAGCGCGGCAGGCCGCTGCGCTGAGGCAGCTGGACGACTTCCTGGGACAGCTCCCGCCCAGGACCATTGACTGAGGGCTTTGAAACGGACGCTACAAGAGTATCCCGCTTTGTGCGGCTTAAAAACGCGGTTGCAGATGAACACCCAAGCCCGGCTCCACAGAAAAAAGGCAGGACTTGCGCCTTGGGCGAGCTTGGGGGGCCCTCAGGCAGAACACAGTTGCATGATTCCTGCATGAGCCTCTCATGAATCCAACATGGGTGTCTCGTGAGAGCGTGGACGCCACGTGACTGCACAATGGCACGCTCGAGTCAAACCATGTCAAGACTTTAGGGATTGGGTCGCCACAACATCTGCCAAATTTGCCTCTTGGGATGCCCCGCCAATCATCAAGATTTCCAGCGCTCCCCCCCCCCTAGCCCCCGCTACCCGTGCTACCCGTGTTCCCCCCCCCCCGCGCTACCCGGCTACCCGCGCTGCCCCCGCTATCCCCATGCTACCCATGCTACCCATGCTACCTGTGCTACCCATGCTACCCATGCTACCTGTGCTACCCGTGCTACCTTGTAAAAATGCTGCCAGGGCCAATGTAGTTGCGCTTTGTTGAGGTGGGTAGCATGGGTGCATGGCCTCTCCCCCAGGTCTGCATCAAAATGTGAAGCTGCCAAGCTTGTCCTTTTCTATCCAGCCTGTTTCCAGCGCTGGCTGGATGAGGCATCCTGTCCTTGGCAGCGACAACAAATCTGCAAGAAAGCCCACGTGGGGGCAAAAAGCACGATGGGCTTGCCCAACTTTTCACTCGCACGATGTAGAAAACTTTTTCCTGAACAGGCCGACTGCCCAAACTACTGCTTCACTGTGGGGCATCTGCCTTTGATCACCTGCTCAAACTTCTTGTAAGTCTCTGCGGGCACGCGCTCCTTCATGATGGCGGCCACGCCCTCATCGCAAACCAATTCCTTCATCACCTCCCCGGTGAGCGGCGAGGCCCATGAGGCCTGGAGCACATCATCCGTGGTCTCGATCTTGGCGCCGCCCACTTGAGCAAGCTCCAGCGTGGCCTTGTCGAAGGCCTCCACTGGCGGCCCAAAGGCCATCTCTGCAGCGGCCAACATGGCCTCACCGGTCTTGGTGGCCTTCTCCTCCTTCTTCATCCCTGTTTTTGTCAGCTCCAGACTGTACTTGAGCTGCTCCTTGTGCCACTTCTTCACGCCCTCGATGCCCAGGGCTCGATTTTGATCCAAGCGGCGCAAGAGCTTGAAGGAGCCGTCCAAGGAGCGGACAATTTGGGCCACGCCCTCGTCGCCAAAGTCCGCTTCGAAGCGCTCCTTGACGTGTGGCTGCATCTCCTCTGGGCTAGGAGCTGGAGAGTACCTCATGTCCATGCGCTTTGCCACGTGCGTCATCAGCTTGAAGTACTGGGCCACACTGTACTCGCTGGCGACCAGGACCACATTGCCCCACAGAGAAAGGGCACAAAAGTGGTTCAGGATGCCGCTGTGCTGCATCACCTTGTTCGCGAGAATCTGCGTCTCATCCACCACCAGAACCAGTTGCTGCGGGTGTGCCTCGAAGGCTCCACGCAGGCCCTTCCACACCGCATGGGGCTGCGGCTGTGGGAAAAACAACCACTTCATGTGCTGAAACCAGCCGTGGAAGGTGGCTGTCTGGTTTGAGATCAGGCTGCCCACCACGAACTCCTCGATCTTCTCCTCGTCGTTCTCCTCGCCCGTGTAGTCGCCGAGGCCGATGAAGAAGCCCACCTTGCCTTGATCGTGGCATTCCTTCAGCACCGCACTGGTCTTGCCAGAGATCTGCAGTCCGCTGATCAGCGTCATCAGCTCGAAGTTCTTGCGCTCTTTCAAAGCCTGCCGGACGATCTGTGTCATGCTCTTGTTGGCCACCCAGGGCTTGGCATACGTCGGTTCCTTAAAGCGCCCAGCGGAAATGCTCCACAGGTACCATCGGGCATACCCCTCTGGGTTCCAGGAGTTGTAAAAACGTGCGCCCGTGACACCAGTGCCCACAAGAGCCAGGGGAAGCGTTGCCACCTTGTAGATGCTGGCAACCTGCTGCAGCCGCGCCCACCATGAGCTTTGAAACATGGCAGCTGACGGAAGCTTTTGGGGACTTTTTGCGGTGCTTCGCGCTATGATCAAAAAACATATCCAAAAATCGTTTTGCTTGAGGTTGAAAGGAAACTTGTCTATTGGACGAACGTCGCTGTGTGTGAGCCAACCCTTTCACACAATGCACACAATGCACAGCCAACGCATCCTATCTGAGCGCATCTTGGACACCGGTCATGCAAACAAGCCTCCCATCCTCAGGCAGCGGCTCCATCTGTTGGCGCATCTGCATCGCCTGGCAACGCGAGAACGGGGAAACGCAAGGCCAACAAGGAAGCAAGGCCAACTACAAGCTCCAACTCCAATAAGAACTCTTGTATCAAGACATGTCGGGCCTGATTCCGCTGGCCTGCTTCTCATCCACACTTTCCTCGTCATCTGAGATTGCTGCACCTGCTGGCGCCTGGACGCATCACCAGCTACCCGCAAAAAATGAGCTCCAAAAGCAGCTTCACAAGCCCTGGATGAGTTTATGTTCAGATAGCACGGCCCTTTCCCGCTCATCCCCAAAACAGAAACGGCCAGCAAGCTTGAAGGCGCATTCTCAGGTGCAGGTGGAGGCACCTGTCTGGACTGGGTCGTGAATCTCCATGGCCTGCAGCGCTTTCGAGCAAGGCGCTTTCACGCAGAAACTCACCACGGTCATCAAATGCCTCACCAGCACCAGCGGAAGGCCCAGGTCGAAGACGAAAGATAGCCGTGTGCATAAAGTAGAGACCTTGCTGCAGCATGCTTGAAAGACATCAAGGCAAAAAAACAAAGTAATAGACATCCAGTCAAGCAAGCACTCTGCGGGGCCATGCCACCCATGCTACCCATGCTACCCATGCTACAAATGCTACCCATGCTACCCAGCACAAAAATGCAACCACACTCGCCCTGGATGCGTTTCTGTTCGGGGTAGCACGGGTAGCACGGGTAGCATGGGTAGCATGGGCAGCATGGGTAGCGTGGGTAGCACGGGTAGCATGGGTAGCATGGGCAGCATGGGTAGCGTGGGTAGCAGGGGTAGCAAGGGTAGCATGGGCAGCATGGGTAGCAGGGGTAGCAAGGGTAGCACGGGGTCACCCGGCCTTGCGTGCACTTCCCAAAAAAACAGCAAAATTGCCCTGTGGCCTGCTCGCGCACACACACACACACACACACACATGCTGGCTCAAAGTTGCAAGCGGTTTGCAAGCTTCAAGAGCATGCTGGTTCACAAGTAAAAATATCCAAGGCTGTTGGATGTACAAGAGCAAGAGAGCCAGCAACATCGCAACGGGTTTGCAAGCGTCAAGGACATGTTGGTTCAGCATGTGGCGCAGCACATGCACAACCATGCCCTGGAGGTCCTTGTCCGCCAAACTCTGCAGCTCCAAGACCAGCTCCGCTCGGACCATTTTGGACACTGTTTTGTTGGCGGGAACAGCGCTCTCCTCATCCGAAGAAAATGAACCATCCAAAGATCCTGAGGACTCCACCTTCTCGCTTGGCCTGGGGCTCATCAGCCTAGCGCCTCAGGAAGCTGCGACCGCACAACAAAGGTCCTGGCAACCAACCAGAATTGGCCCCCCTTCCAAAATGGCCCCGGCTACCCGTGCTACCCGTGCTACCCGCGGGATTGCGGCGAGCCTCCCAAAATGGCCCCTGCTACCCGTGCTACCCACGCTACCCCTGCTACCCATGCTACCCGTGCTACCCGTGCTACCCGTGCTACCCGTGCTACCCGTGCTGCCTGAGATATTGCGGCGAGCCTCCCAAAATGGCCCGTGCTACCCGTGCTACCCGTGCTACCCGAGGGATTGCGGCGAGCCTCCAAAATGGCTCGTGCTACCCGTGCTACCCTTGCTACCCGTGCTACCCGTGCTACCCGCGCTACCCGAGGGATTGCGGCGGGCCTCCAAATGGCCCCATGCTACCCATGCTACCCATGCTACCCATGCTCCAGCTCAGAAATGCAACGAGGCATGCCTTGGCCGTGTTTTAAGGCTGGGTAGCATGGGTAGCATGGGTAGCAAGGGGATTTTGGAGGGTAAACTGCAGCAAGAGACAGGCCTGGTCCTCGTTGCTTGCCTTTGGCCTGGCACCAGGACACACTCAAGTTCCCTCTCCAAAAAGGCGCATGAATAAAGAATGCATGACATGCATTGACACCAAAAGCACATGAGGCAACAGACAGGCCTCGTCCTCCCTGCCTTTGGACTCATCTGCATGGCTTTCAATCGCCTTCGAGTCCCTCTCCAAAAAAATAATGCATAGCACGCTCTGACAGGCCTTCTCGTCTTCAGGCTCATCCGCCTGGTTCATGCTCGCCTGGCACCATGCTACATCCACGGAGTGACGCACAACAAAGCCGGGGTAGCATGGGTAGCATGGGTAGCGAGGTTCTGTTGGGGTGATGAAGAAGAAAAAAAACAGCAACACACGGGCCTCGCTGTCTTCCCCATCGGATTCATCTGCATGCCCTTCGATCGCCTGGCGCTATGTGACCCACTCAAGCTCTCTCCCCAAAAGCATGAGCAACAAATGGATACGCACTGACAAGCCTGAGTCCTCTCCCCTTCCGGCATGTCAGCATCGTTTGAGTTTGCCTGACTCTCCATGACTTCTGAAAAACACTGTATTCAAGCAGGAAGACTGCGGGCCTCGCTCCCTCCTTCGTCATGAGGGTTGGCATTGTCCACCGGCATCGGCTGCACAGGATCCTTGATTTCCACAGCCTCCGGGAATGCAACATGATCTTGACTATCAAAAAAAATGTAACAGCAGGCCTCCTTCCTCTTGACTTCGGGCTCGTTCGTTGGCACGAGCCGTACTGCAGGCCTCCTTCCTATCAACTTCGGGCTCGTTCGTTGGCACAAGCCGTACCGGTTCTGGGATTCCAATGGCCTGGCGGGAACGCAACGTGATCTTGACTGTCAAAAAACTGTAACAGCAGGCCTCCTCCCTCTCGACTTCGGGCTCGTTCGTCGGCACAAGCTGCACCGGTTCTGTGATTTCCATGGCCTGGCGGGAATGCAACAGGACCAGAGATCAATTTACTGAACTAATCAATCTTGCTTGAAAGGGAAAGGATCCGCCTCCAGAGAAGGCGCAATAGTCGGGTCCACTCCGCGGCAGGTCTCTAGTCGCCAAAATGGCACTGCAACGGCAAGTCAATCACGCACATGAATCTCAAGATGACTCTCCGCCCGGAAAAAATGCACTGCTCAAAAAAACGTTTTCCTGCCTCGGCCCCAAAAAACCCCATGCTACCCATGCTACCCATGCTACCCATGCTACCCGTGCTACCCAGCTCGTAAGTGCAGCGAGCCCTCACCTGGCCAACCCTGCACTGCTCAAAAAAACGTTTTCCTGTCTCGGCCCCAAGAACCCCCATGCTCCCCATGCTACCCATGCTACTCATGCCTCTGCTGGCTGTTTTGTGAGCTGGGTAGCATGGGTAGCATGGGCAGCATGGGGGTTTTGGGGCCGAGACAAGCTAACCATGATACCCGACTCACTGAGCATGGGTAGCATGGGTTTTCCAGTAGTCACGGCTGACAAGCAAAAAAACATCGGCGTGTTGAAAGAGGGGTGCAAGAGGGTGCAATCACAAATCAAGCCAATTCCATGCAAAATCGAACAAACAAGAGGGGGTGCAAAAGGGGTGCAATCACAAATCAAGCCAAAAACATGCAAAATCGAACAAAAAAGAGGGGGTGCAAAAGGGGTGCAAAAAGGGTCGGGTTGGGCGAACCAGTATCAAACCAGCGGGCTGGCGTGGGCAAACCGTGCAAAACCGTGCAACACGAGCTATTAGCCTAGGGTCTATATTTATGTAGGGCCTAGGCTAATAGCATTTTGTAGCTCAAAACCGTGAAAAACCGTGCAAAAGAAGGGGGACTCTGCCCGGAGTTTTTTTTCCTGTCAGGCTGCCGTGCGTGTTGGCAACGAAGCGCGACTCCGGGGGGTCTGGCGCTGGGGGGCGGGATTTTTTTTCGGCAGTGCCGAGCGGGCACTTTAGGTAGGACGTGCCGAGCAGGCACAGTGCCGAGCAGGCACCGTAGGAGTGCCGAGCAGGCACAGCGCCGAGCAGGCACAGCGCCGAGCAGGCACAGCGCCGAGCAGGCACAGCGCCGAGCAGGCACTGTAGGGTAGGCAGTGCCGAGCGGGCACAGCGCCGAGCAGGCACAGCGCCGAGCAGGCACGTAGGATACTGGTTCGCCCAACTCCGTTTCGATACTGGTTCGCCCAACCCGTTGGTTTCCCGAGGACCCCAAACCCGGACCCAAACACGATTCAAACAATCACGGAACAGAAGTAGTCAATCAAGGGTGGCCCGGCCTGAGGGGAGGCGCCAGGACGTTGTTCGATGGTGAGGGAGACGGAGCTCGGAGTTTTTTTGGGCCCTTATAGGAACCTATAGGAACCTATAGGAATCTTATAGGAAACTCATAGGAAACCTGTAGGAACCCCTCTTCATCTTTTTCTATGGGCTTCCTATGGACTTCCTATGAGTTTCCTATAAGATTCCTATAGGTTCCTATAGGTTCCTATAAGGGCCCAAAAAAACTCCGAGCGACACCCTTCGTCTGGTTGGGTCATGACCCGTTGGGCAGACCCCCCGTACCCGTTGGGCGAACCAGTACTTTAAAAAAACGAAACCCCCCAGGCACGTTGGGCAGACCAGTACTCGAAAAAAAAAACCGAAACCCCTCCAGACCTGTTGGGCAGACCAGTACTTGAAAAAAAACGAAACCCTTCCAGACCCGTTGGGCAGACCAGTACTAAGCCAAAAATGCCGCGCCCTTTGCGCAGACCAGTACTTGAAAAAACGAACCCCCGTCGGGCCCGTTGGGCGAACCAGTACTTGAAAACGAATCCGAAACCCCCAGACCCGTTGGGCGAACCAGTACTAAGCCAAACCCCCCCGGTCCCGTTGGGCAGACCAGTACTTAAAAAAAAAACGACCCTCCCCCCAAACCCGTTGGGCGGACCAATACTAAGCCAAAAGCCCCGGGCCTGCTGGGCGAGCCAGTACTTGAAAAACCTGAACCCATAATCAAGCAGAAAAACTAGCGAAAAGTCAACCGGCTGAAGGGTGCAATCAGGGTGCAATTAGGGTGCAATTAGGGTGCAATTAGGGTGCAAAAGGGTGCAACCCAAAAATCGTGCAAAAACACACACAAACAGGCTAAAAAAGGGTGAGTGCCAGAGGACGCACTCCCAAACGAAGCAAAAAACACCCGCAAAATCAAGCAAAAAGCCAACCGGCTGAAGGGTGCAATCAGGGTGCAATTAGGGTGCAATTAGGGTGCAATCAGGGTGCAAAAGGGTGCAACCCCAAATCGTGCAAAAACACGCAAAAACAGGCTAAAAAAGGGTGAGTGCCAGAGGACGCACTCCCAAACGAAGCGAAAGACACCCGCAAAATCAAGCAAAAAGCCAACCGGCTGCAATCAGGGTGCAATTAGGGTGCAATTAGGGTGCAAAAGGGTGCAACCCAAAAATCGTGCAAAAACACACACAAACAGGCTAAAAAAGGGTGAGTGCCAGAGGACGCACTCCCAAACGAAGCAAAAAACACCCGCAAAATCAAGCAAAAAGCCAACCGGCTGAAGGGTGCAATCAGGGTGCAATTAGGGTGCAATTAGGGTGCAATCAGGGTGCAAAAGGGTGCAACCCCAAATCGTGCAAAAACACGCAAAAACAGGCTAAAAAAGGGTGAGTGCCAGAGGACGCACTCCCAAACGAAGCAAAAAAACACCCGCAAAATCAAGCAAAAAGCCAACCGGCTGAAGGGTGCAATCAGGGTGCAATTAGGGTGCAATTAGGGTGCAATCAGGGTGCAAAAGGGTGCAACCCCAAAATCGTGCAAAAACATGCAAAATCGGGCGCAGTTGGGCGAGCCAGTATCAAAACGGAGTTGGGCGAACCAGTATCAAAAACGGGGTTGGGCGAACCAGTATCAAACCCCAGCGGGTTGGGCGGGCCAGTATCAAACCTGAACGGGTCGGGCGGCGGGCCCCTTATAGGAACCTATAGGAACCTATAGGAATCTTATAGGAAACTCAGAGGAAACCCATAGGAAACTCATAGGAAACCGTAGGAAGCCCTCTTCTTCTTTTCCTATGGCCTTCCTATGGAATTCCTATGAGTTTCCTATAAGATTCCTATAGGTTCCTATAGGTTCCTATAGGTTCCTATAATAAGGGCCCAAAAAAAACTCCGAGCTCCGACCCCCTTCATCTGACTGACCCGTTGGGCAGACCAGTACTAAGCCAAACTCGGGGCCAGACGATGACTCACATGAGCGGTCTACTAAGGGTCGTTGGGCGAACCAGTACTAATCCTACGTGCCCGCTCGGCACTGTGCCTGCTCGGCACTCCTACAAGTGCCTGCTCGGCACGTCCTACAGTGCCTGCTCGGCACTCCTAAAAGTGCCCGCTCGGCACTGTGCCTGCTCGGCACGTCCTACAGTGCCTGCTCGGCACTCCTAAGTGCCTGCTCGGCACTCCTAAGTGCCTGCTCGGCACGGCCCACCCGCCCCAGCCCCAGCGCCAGACCCGCGGAGTTGTGCTTCGCCAGGATGTTCCACCTCACACGTACGGCGGCCTGACAGGGAAGGAAAAAAACTTCGGGTTTGGGGGGGTACATGCCAAGCACAATCAAGCAAAATCATGCAAAATCATGTCATGCCAAAATCAAGCAAATGTCATGCCATGCGAAAAACCGTGCAAAACGAGCTATTACTCCAGGCCGTACATACATGTACACCCTGGAGTAATAGCATTTTTTCAGCGCAAAACCGTGTAAAAAGCTGTTCTCCCCGGCCTTTACGGGCAAGTATACCCGAGAATGCGCGGCCAACCAAAAAAACTGGGCCCGTAAAAAAAGAATGGCAAGTTGGGCGAGACAACGACAGCAGATCACGGAGGCCGCGGACGGCGGCGCCCGGGCTCGCACGGGGGCGGATGGTGCCGTCGTGCTGAACCTGCGGCGCGGCCCGGGGGCCTACGCGCTGCTCTCGCGCGCGGACGGGCAGCTGACCCGGGCGGGCCAGCACTACTACTCCCACCTGGGCCTGCGGCCTCCCAGCAAGGACTTCGACTACAACCAGCCCCTCATCCGCGAGGGGCCCAACGACTACATCCTGCTGCGCAACGGGCAGAAGAAGCTCGTGCGCTCCCTGCAGGGCGGAGAGCACCGGCTGACCAAGCTGGGCAAGGGCTTCTTCCGCGACAAGTACTACGAGTACCTGGTCCACGTGCCGGTGATCATCCGGGGCAGGCGGCGCAGCGGGCGGAACGCCGGCGCGGGCTACGAGCGCAGGGACTGGCTGCCGGTGAACGAGCTGGGCGGCGCCATGACGAGGCACCCGGCGCACCTCACGGAGGAGCAGGTGGCGCAGCGGGTCAGGCAACAGGTGGAGGCCTCGCTGGACCCGGGCGGCCCCATCCTGCAGCTCTCGGACGAGACCTACTTCCTCGACCCTGAGGGGCACTGGGTGGTCAGCACCCAGAGCACGCACTACAGGAACTCCAGGACCGAGGTGGAGACGCTCCTGCGCCAGCGCATGAGGGGCCTGAGGAGCGTGAGCTTCCAGCTGCCCTGCGAGGAGGACGTGCTGCAGAGCGCCTTCGAGGACAAGCCGCTCTGCGTGCCCCGGCAGCTGGCCGAGCTGCTGCAGCTGAGCGTGGAGGAGGTGTGCGCCGACTTTGACGCCATGCTGCGCCACGACTGGAGGCGCCTCGGCATCTCCGCCGAGGAGGTGCGAGAGTTCTGCGTGTGGCGCAACGCCCCCATGCGCGTGCTGAGCTCGCAGGGCGACCTGGTGGACAGCTACGACCCGGCGCTGAAGGAGCACCGCACCGTGTGCTTCTTGGCCTTCGACGGGCACTGCTACATGTACAGGGCCGTGAAGCGGGTGCTGGAGAGGCAGGCGGCGCGCGTGCTCTACCGGGGCGAGGCGAGGCAGACCCTGCCGCCCATCCAAGAGTGGAGGCGCTTCGACGCCGCG